CTCGCAAACTATTCGAATTCAAAATTGGTTCGTGCTATGGCTACAGATGTTGCAGGTGTCTATGAATGACAGCGGTCACTTACCATCAGGGGAGCCGTCAGCTCGTATGCCCCTTATAGTATTCTCACAAACGCTCTCGAAACGGAACCGCGAAAGTGCTAGAGACCGAATTTGCCGGTGCACCGCGGGTCGCGATAGAGGATGAGTAATGCGGCTCATTCTAAAACGAGCCTTATGCAGTGCGACGTAAGGGAGAAAGTGCAAAGACATCTGCACTTGTTTACAAGTTATGCGCGTTACCTGTGTAGGTATAAGTAGGTACCACGTACTCGCGGGTGCTAGTTAACTCTCAATTTAACAGATACTTTCTAGAATGCGTCGATTGGCCTATATAAGCGCCATCGGCCGATTTCGGAACTAATCCAAAGGCGATCAAAGTGCAACAAAAGTGTTCAAGTGCGATTGTTTAGAGGCTTGTATAGTGAAATACAGTGTTTAGTGAGTGTACTGTGATTAACATTGTGTGGTGAATAAAGTACTTTCAAGCGTGAACTGGCATATAATTTCGAATCCCATCCCGACACGTAACAATATAAAAATAAAACGACGGGTTGCATTCCGGGAGTGCCGGCAGAAGTGAAAACTTGAATATTAACGTTGTGCATTTTTGATATTTTGGAATGGTTAGGGAATAATTTTGCACGAATTGCTTTAATTATCAGTATAAAAATACTATCATGTATGTGGTAAAATACAATATTTATTTACACAAACATGAAAATTTATATTACATTAAAAAGTTTATCTCTCAGGAAAATCAACTTACATGAATCACGTTTAAGCGCACTTAGCGACATCTATTGTAAAGAAATTAACGTACATGAATCACATTTAAGCGCACCTAGCGACATCTATTGTAAAAAATGCATTTTCTTCGCAATAAAGCTGCCACGTGGACGTCCTAGATAGAGACTTATTATTATATTACGATAAAAAAAATATTACTATGTTTCGTCCAATATATTGAAAGTCAACAACCTTTCCAATTTTATTGCGTGTCATGATGCGATCAGCCCACGTGTTTAACCTGACGCGAATTTAACATTATTTACCCACAGAAAAAAAAGTGTATAACGCCGCTAAAGAAGTTTTCACTTCAAATATCTGCCACTACCCCGTGAAGCCCTGTGAATGTGAACAGAAACAATACCGCCAAAGGGTAGTGTTATTTCCCTGTGGTCTTATTTTTCTTTATTATATTAAAAGGGTGGAAAACAAGCATATAACGCCGCTTTCTATATGCTAAATATAAAGTTAACTGAAAAAATTATTAACTAACTATACAGAGCGTCACACGGGTTTGTCACACGGAGGGTAAATATTAAATATTGAAGATAGGATATTTTACTGAAAGAAGACACCATTTTATTTTTAATAATAATTAAAATTGCAATCACAGTTTTAAAAAAATCGAATTTGAAAAATTCTAGGTCTCCCGTCGTAGTTTTGCGAACAGATGTCGTAGCTTCTTGACCTTCATAATGCTTGTGTAGCAAGGCCAAAGGGGAAGATCTTCCTCCGAGCTGGGTGAAGGTAGCTCGGATTCTATGAGTGATACTTTGGATGCACTTAATGATAAAATTAAGGAACTGCAAAATCAAAATCTATTCCTGAAGAATAAAAATACCCACTTTTAATTAAAAATAGATGCAATGGAGCAATACGTACAAAAAATGGAACAGCAACAGCTAAACAATATAGTCGAAATTGCCGGTATTCCCGAGACGGAGGATGAAAACCTAGATATTCTCTCAACAAAAATAAATGACTGAAAGGTAGAAACGGAAAATATGGTTTGCTACATTTTGCCTTACGCCAGGAGAAACAGGTTGATCAGTGGATAAAGGCTTTACGGAAAACACCTGTTTTAACAGAGGACATCATAACCGATGCTAATCCCGACGTTGCAAAATTAGAGATAATGATTAGACACGCATTATCTAAAACGAACAAAACTTTGTTGTGGCAAGCTAAACAGGCATTGACAAATATACCTGGTTTCAAGATGGTAAAATACTAACGCGCCAGAATGACGACGATAAGCCGATAATTATAAGGAATGCCCAAGATATTGACAAGATAGTGACCCAGGAAAAAGGTCGTCGATAGTAGAAGCCATGATAACTACAGCACTAGTTTCACCTTCGGATATTTGTGAAGTTCACGATTGTTCGGACATAAATGACTGAAATGAAATGAAATGAAAAGTCATTTATTCAGTCTAGGCTGTTACAAGCACTTGTGAAAGTCAAGAAGCTACGCCATCGGTTCGCAAAACTTTAGTACCTACCTTCCTCAAAACATTAAACCTATTTTAAATATAGTGCATGTTAACGTTCGATCAATTATTAAAGCGTTAAGTTTAGTATTGCAATTTTTAAGCTCCTCATTGATAAACATCGACGTCATGATTCTAACGGAAGTAGGTATAACTAGCAGCAGTAACCTTGAACATTTATTTCAGTTATAAGGGTACTTTATGCATAATTCTCTTCGCGAACAACGAAGAGGTGGGGGTATAATTATGTATATAAAAAACTGTCATAATTTTCAATCACTAAATAACTGTACACTAAAACACTGCGAATCAATTTTTGGAAATATTAGAACGTGAAATCACTACACGGCACATATTTGCGCACTGTATCGACCTCCTAAAGAAAGTAAGCACTTATTTATTAAAGAAATTAAAGATTTACTCTATAAAGACATATTTCAACAAACTGATTTATACTTATTAGGCGACGTAAACATAGACCTGAAATGTAAGGACAGCATCCGTGAATATTACATTAACTGCATAGTTGAGTGTGGTCTAATGAGCGCAAAACCTGATTACACGAGAATAGAAAAACGAAATGATACTGTAACACGTAGCTGCATAGACCATATATTTGCACGTTCGCGCTTATTAGACTTGCACTCCGCGGTGCTCGGAACAGTAATGGCAGACCACTGTATCACGGTAATATTATCTATACAGTATTGTGACTCCGCCCAGTCCTTGAAAATAAATGCCTACACCGAACGCTGCGTTGGCACGCGGTAGGGCCTCCAGCCTACAGTATTTTATGTAGTTTTGTTTTTAACGCGAGTGTAGGTAGATTACTCGTTTGTCTCTTTTTTCATCCTAACCACTTATTTAAATATTATTCCAGATATTTTGCCCGATGGAAAAACCGAAATACCTAAATATTAGAAACAAATAACGTACTAGTAGATAGATATATAAAAAATATTCTATAAAGGTAAGACACCTTTCCAATATTTCAGGTAATTTAAAAAATGATATCTCTGGGTGTGTTATTGAAGAGTTCAAGCAACCAAAAACAGCAATTGTGCTGTTGTACGATATTGATCGTCGTTTGTTCTTTTCCATACTAAATTATGTAGGTATCTACTTAATTAAATCAAATATTTACAATACAAAACGCATGTTTAAGCACGGCTAACTGCAAAAAAACAATTCAGACCGTTCGGTCGTCGTTGCGGCGCGGCGGCGCATTCGCGACTGGGTGCACGCCGAGAGCACATCGAACTCGAGTGGCGTAGGTATGACTCGCTTTCCGACCGTTTGTATGAAGATAGAATACTGTATGATATTATTACCGTGACTGTATGGTTGTATTGTCGTGCGTTGGACGCGAAGCAAAGGGCACTATACGGGACGATGCTATTTTTAAAGAATATATAGACTTTGGCAAATTAAAATCAAGTTTAGAAAATATTGATTTTTGTGAAGTTGACGAGCTGCAATGTCCGCTACAGATTTATGATCTTATTAAAAACAAATTTAATGCCTGCTATAACCAGTCTAAATATACGAAAACAAAAAGTAAAATTAGTAAAAGGGACAGGGGGTCGTGGATCAATTCTAAAATTAATAATATGTGCAATAATAAGAGATTTACTATTTAAACAATGAAAACGGGATAGGAACAATGAATTACTAAGACTAGAATTTACCGAACAAAGAATTATTACACAAAAATTAATTCAAAAAAATAGGAACAAATACTACAACGACCAAATTATTATTAACAAAAGTAATCCAAGTAGAATGTGGGAAATTTTAAATTCTTTAACGGGTCGAGTTTGTAAATCTGTCGACGATGCAATATTAAAAGCTTTTTAAAAAAATAACACAACAATAAAAACTATAGCAAATAATTTTGATAAAGAGTTTGACGAAAACGTGAAAAATATATTATCTAACTATAATAATAATATTTTACAAGAGTCAGAATATACACACCCAGAAAATAAGTCAATGTTCTTTAAAAACCCACTAATCGAATCGTTTTAAATATCATAAATTTAAATAAAAATAAATCAGCGGGTGTTGATGGAATACGGTGCATAGATGTAAAGTTTATAGGTGAGAAATTAGCGAAAGTTATAGTGAAGTTAATTAATGCCAGTATAAAAACAGGAAAATATCGACAAGAACTTAAAACAGGTATTGTAAGGCCTGTTTATAAAAAAGGATCGCATGGCAAATATGAAAATTATAGGCCTATTACAATATTGCCAGTTATCGACAAGATAGTATAAAAATACGTCAAATTCAGGATCATTATAACATATACAATATAATTTCAATGTCTCAGTTTGGTTTTCAACCACATAATTCAACGTCAATTTTGTTATCTAAATTTACAAATGAAATAAATGAACATCTTAATGAGAAAAAACATGTTATTTTACTATTTATAGACTTTAGCAGAGCATTTGATACACTTAGACACGACACGTTAGGAAATAAGTTAAAAAACACGAGTATACGCGGACCGATTCTGCGATGGTGTGAAGAGTACCTTAAAAACAGGATATATCGTGTTAAGGTTGAGAATGAATATAGCGATGAAATATCGGTTACAACGGGCACGGCGCAGGGTTCCGTACTAGGGCCGACACATTATTAAGCATATGTCAACGATATGGAGAAAGTTGTTAATAACTGCTCTATTTATCAATACGCAGACGATACATGTCTGATAGCAGCAAATAAAGATGTATCAGAAGCCGAAAGTCAATTACAATTAGATTTTGACAACTTTTGCAAATGGTCTCACGATATGGGGTTGGTAATTAACATAAATAAAACAAAAATTATTCATGTTCGTTCAAGTCATTTGCTTAACAGAAATCGATCTTCTAAAATTACTGCGCATGATCACAAGTGTCTACACACCTTGGTATCATTGACATGTGATTGCGAATGTGAATTGATAGAAGAAGTCTCTAACTATAAATACTTAGGGTTAATCGTCGATGATCGTTTTAATTGGAGTCAACACATTGATGCCGTGTGTGACAAACTAAGAGCTATTTTAGCTAAATTTGTAATAATCAAATATAAAATACCTTTCAAGTTATTAATTAACTTATATAATGCGCTAGTGGAGTCAATCATTTTGTATGGCATTACTAGCTATGACAGAACGTTGAAAACTTATTTAGAAAAAAAATATAAATTACAAATCAGATTTTTAAAACTAATGATACCTAAAAACATCAGAAAAACACTTTGTAACGGTGAAGATATTAGCGGAATGTTTAAATATTGTAAAATTTTACCTATATATTCTAAAGTAAAATGATGATATTGATTGAACAATTTGACAATAAAGATATACAAATAAAAATAAATCATAAAACAACAACTAGAAAAATCACTTATTTAAAATTCAATATTCCTATAACAAAAAATTATTATGGTAAACGGACCAATGCATTTTTAGTACCATTTTTAATGAACAAAATACCGACAAAAATTTTGCAAGACATAACTAGTAAAAATTGTAAATATAAATATAATAAATACTTTTACGACACTTAATTACTGTTCTACTAAAGAAAGGGATTCCTCCTGTATTATGCGCACCGACAACTAGCATCGTACCTGTGTACGGCTTATCGTGTTTTGTTAGATATTGGCGGGTAAACGTTATAACATTTATACAATTACCTTCTTACTTGTAAAATTTAATGAGCTATGGAAATTGTTGTGTATTGTATATTTTCGCTGTTATGTATTATTATGCCGAGAACTGGAAAAGTATAATTTCAGAATATCAAAACTATGTATTGACTTAAGTGACTCAGTATCCGGAGAAACCCAATGTGGGTTTTTGTGATACTTTTTATTAATTACTGTATTTTGTATTATCAAATAAATGAAAAGAAAAAAAAAGTGCCAACATGATTGTGATTCAAGGAAAAATATATAAAGATTTAGCTTGGCATACAAAGTTCATCCGTATCGCTGCCTGAGTGTCATCTTTGTGTGACATACGATACACACTGTTGGTAAGTTAGAATAACAAAAATTACGACCTCTATTTTTTACCCTATCAGAATAACATAAGAAAAGCGAAAGAAAAAGCTAGTTTAATGTTCACACCTAAACATTGTTTTTTCTGATAAAAAATATAAATATAATAATCTAATCTTTATTGATTTTCTTTGTGAGGTATTTAATTTATAAGGTTTTTGATTATTAACATAAGTACCGCCTGTTGTCTTTTCGTATCAGACACGCGGCTAATCAGGCGATATGATAAATAGTTTGTAGCGTATAGCGTTAAAAAAGTGATATAATGTAAATTGCTAATTTCTCATGCTACGGAGGCTGACGTGATGTTTATGAAGAGTTCCGACACAAAAACATGAGGCAAATAAAGGTGCCGCTTCAGCCAATCATGCCTTGATTGCCTGAAGAAACCAGGAAAAACTTTAATCACTAACAGAACATCACTGAAAACCTAATGTCATTATTCTTTGATTTTTTGTAAGGTGGATGGAGGCTGGAGGTTGCTTTCCCATAATGCACTCCAATTCTTTGCCATGCCTTTTTACATTTAGAATCAGTTTGTACAAAGAAAGATTGTTGATAGAGCACAATAGCTGCGATCATGCTTCTCATTCTTAAGTTGGGCATAACATTTTGTCTGGAAACCATTTTATTTCTGTGCTGAAAACAATGATAGGGCTTCCATTCCAATTTTAACTTTGTGTCATGTTATGGTCAAGGGCATGTTAGGCTTAGGATAAATGTAATTAATTAAATTTCAAATATCTCACAAATTCATTCATCAAGTTATATTTGTCAGTCTGTCCTACACTTGTGCTTATAGTTTTTTATAGTAATGTACACTGGTACTTAATTTTTTTTTTCCCCTATTTTGCTATCTAGTATCCATATGTGGTTATGGGTAGTCATACTCTCTTAAAAATCTCTTCGGCGGTGTCGTGTGAGGCGGGTCGTTACGTTCCCTAAAAAATGGTTGAGCGAAGAGATGGCTGGTTCATGCGTCATGCTCGTGAACGGGTGCTGCCAGCGGAGATGAGTCTGCTCTTGCTACATTGGGTACTATTAATCGTTGTATTTAACTTTAATGGTACATTTGTTTTTATGCCTAAACAGTGGGACACGGCATTCCTAAACCTTTTTCATTTTTAAATCTGTTTTTTATATTTTTTATTTTATAGTCATAATTGTTTTATCATTTACATTTGTAATGGAAAGTGACTTCATGGGTTATCTCATATTGAACTCATTTTTCAAATTGACGACTCTGTATATAATACAGGGAGAAAAAAACAGCCCTTGCTGAGTTTCTTGCCGGTTCTTCTCAGTACAAGGTCTCCCGCCGTAGATTTGCAAACCGATGGCGTAGCTTTTCGACATTCACAAGTGCTTGTAACAGCCTAAACTGAATAAACGATATTGAATTTTGATTTTTTTTTTTGAATCATGTTCATAGTTTCATTGGCGTTCCGAAGAGGCCGTGTGTCTCTATGTTATTTGTGTCAAGACAGGGCAGCAATTATTGAAGTGAACGCGAATTATAAAGCAGCTGAGTGTGGCGCGGGCTCGCAACTACGGGGAGATGGCTCCGCACTACCTCCTAATTGGTGAGTCAGTTGTTGGTGCGTTTAATTATGTTACAAGATTTACGTTTTACCATGTATATGCGACGTAGATGAAACTGTATTAACTTAGAAACGACTGAGTGAGTGATACACAGGATGAAATGCGGGGAAATGTCTGGCTGCAGCGAAATTTCTGATGATTTGGGGATCTCGAAAGAGATTTTGTGCTTAGTTGTGGTTCTGTGGACTGGAAGGGTGAGTGCTTTTTGATTGTATATTTACTTTTTAATTTATTTTAATGAGTTGTTTGTTACGTCACCGTCTTTATTTATTTATCTGTGGCGTTTTGTGATTGGTTGTGGTATCATTACTGATTTAGTTGAGTCGTTGCTATATAGTTAGTTGCTATATAGTTATATAGCAAATTGCTATAAAGTTATTTTTAGCTTCTTTAAGATCTTCTTGTAGAAAAGCTACTGACAAAGAATTAGCTTGTATTAATAACTTGCACCCTTATTCCAAACCGCAGACTTAAGTTAGCCTTGGTTAAAACCTAATGTTGTCCTTGTCTTCTTCTCGGCAAACAAAAGTGACAGCATCAGTTTTAGTCCAGGTTTAACTTTAGTCTACGTTTCGTAATAAAGCGGATAGTGTTTTGTTTACTAAAATATCATTTAGTGATACGTTGAACAGGCAGGACTGAGGACAGAACAAATAACTAATACTATACTTATATCATAATGTACCATGTTCAGATGTTCATCCATGAGTTAATATTTTTTTTTACTAATCAGTAAAATATTGAATGACTATTAAAAGGCCGTTTCAGACCCTATTGTTATAAAGAATAAGACATTGTAGAATAGATCACACAAACGACCAAGCTCGACCAAGTAAGGTCATTAATAAGTATTGGATATTGACTTTCGATTGATGCGGTTTGTTGATTTACTCCTCGAGGTACCTATTCGGATTTTTTAATAAATCACTATTTTTTTCTATTCTATTGTAGAATTTATTTAGATTTACATTTGGTGCGTTGCCACCTGGGAATTAGTTTTCCTTTACTGAAGATAATAAAATTATTCTGTCTATCAGTGAGTAAAGTAGCCGGAATAAGTTTCAGGCTAGCAAGTTGAGGATGGCTGTAGCTGTATATATTGTCCCAGCTAGACTTTACTGACCATTAACTTCAGAATAGCTTTGGGCATTCCAAAAAAACAACGTCATTTCTTTACTGGTTATCTTAGTAGTTAATCAGCAGCTTATTGATATCCTGTTCACGCAATAACTGACTTCGGAGTCTCTCAAAAGACATGGTGCATGGTAGAAAAAATACGACTTATATTACAACTAGCGGCCCGCCCTCGCTTCGCTTCGGTGTAGAGATGAAGTGTAGACTACAATTTTTGTTCTCAGGCTTGTATTATACACAATGACATTTATCTATGATTCTTCTTATACCTGCATGCAAAGTCTCAGCCCGATCGGTTTAAAATTGACAAAGTTTCATACAAACTTTCATTCCCTATTTTATCCCCTTGGGGGTAGAATTGATCAAAATCCTTTCTTAGCAGATGCCTACGTCATAACATCTACCTGCATGCCAAATTTCAGCTCGATCCGTCCAATGGTTTGGGCTGTGCGTTGATAGATCATTATGTCAGTCAGTCACCTTTGAGTTTTATATAATAGATGAAAACATTGTTTCCATTTCAGTGATTCTGCTCATTTCGCTAGCAGCGGTGTGGGCGGCAGGCGGTTCCTGTCCCCCCACGTTGCCGGTGGACATCTGCGAGGCCACCTGTGGACCAGCCTCCCCATGCAGCAATACTACGCAGCTTTGCTGTCCGACTGCGTGCGGGGGCGCAATGTGCGTGGACCCTGTTACACAGAGGCACTTTGTTACATTAGGTAAGAACCTCTTAGGTAACTACGAACCCCTTAGGTAACTACGAACCTCTTCGGTAACTACCTACGGACCTCTTAGGTAACTATGAATCACTAGGTAACTATGTACCTCTTAGGTAACTACGAACCACTGGGTAACTATGAACGTATTAGTTAAGTACGAATCTGAAAGCTAACTATGAACTAGGGATATTTATTTGTTATTTGGATGGTAAGACGCTTTGTTCACCTGATGATAAGCTGTCTCCGTGGTCTGGATGGTAGACATCTGCGAGGTCACCTGTGGACCCGTCCCCAATGCATCAACTTTACGCAGATGTGCTGCCCGACTGCGTGCGTGGGCACCGTGTGCGTAGATCCTGTCACACAGACACACTTTGTTTTATATAAGAACCTCTTAGGTAACAACAAACCTCTTAGGTAACTACAAACCTCTTAGGTAAATACGTACCTCTTAGGTAACTTTGAAGTATAGATACTTTTTTGTTATTTGGATGGTAAACCCTGTTCATCTGATGATTAGCTGTTTCCGTGGTCTTCTTGCTGGTGGACATCTTCGAGGCCACCTGTGGACCCGTCTCCCCATACACTTATTTCGTCACGCCACGTTATTACAAGTGTCGATCTTCCTGTCACACAGAGGAACTTTGTTAAATTAAGTAACCAAAAACTAGTATTTTTATTATATGTATAGAAAGAAGGCAAAGCACATTATCCACCAACCCACCAGATGGTAAGCGGTCATCGTGACCTCCTTGGCCAGTGGACATTTGCGAGGCCACCTGTGGACCGGCTACCCAATGCACCATCTCTACGAAGATGTGATATCCGACTCTGTCACACAAAGGCATTTTGTGCAATTAGGTACGACACGAATCTTCTTTTCATTTCTGGGAATGGCGTAACGACAACTTCGCCACCAGAAGTTTAAATGACAATACGAGAAGACTCCTCCCCACTCATTTTACCCAGCTTGAATGCTCAATGAAATGAGCGGGGTTCTACCCACTTAAATTACGGACAATACTGCACCGGTCACCCACCACGAACTTTGAGGATCAAGGTACCCAAAGTGTGTGTCGAGAGCGCTGGTGTGGTCGTTGCACCCTGTTAAGACCCCTTCAGCCGTTCTCGAAACCATTTTTGGAAACCGGTTTCAAAAAAATAATTTGATTTCTTCTTAGGAAAAAGGTTTCGAAAAAAAATATTTCTGCTTTCGAAAATAGTTTCGAATAAAATATTAATAATTCTTGCATTGAAACTCAGTGATTAATCATACCTACAATCTTATTTTATTTCCAAGCACTTTACGGGTTTTTCACTATGCACACCGTGGAACAAACCAGGCGGGTGTTAGGCACCCTACCACCAGAAGAGCTGATGGAAGCTCTGATATTCCTCAGTCGCTTCTTACGACACCCAAAGAAATAAAGGGGCGGTTATATTTACAGAATAAGCTGAGGAGCGCGATGGCGCAGGTGGTTAGCACGTTCGGCTGCGATTGTTGAAGTTAAGCAACTTTCGCAGTGGTCGGTCATTGGATGGGTGACCAAAAATCTTCTATCTCGAGTTCCTCCATGCTTCGGAAGGCTCGTTAAGCCGTTGGTCCCGGCTGCACCCGCCAATCCGCACTGGGCCCGCGTGGTGGGTCATGGCCCAATCTCCCTATTCCATCCATAGGGAAAGCCTGTGCCCCAGCAGTGGGGATATTGATAGGCTGCTGATGATGATGAATATGCTGCATTCTTTGGAAAACATTTAGCGGGGCAGCCCGGCTGGGCAAGTAACCACTACATTACAGAAAATCTCATTAATATTGACCTAACTTTGTTGTGTTTTCTTTCTGAGTAAACTTCTAGGGCCCACCAAATATGACTGGAGCGGCACATTTTTCTGCAGCTATTTTTGCAACTTGAGTTCATATCAGCTGGGGAAGGATTATTAATTGCGCTTTAATATATAAGAAAAGCACGATTCCTCCTCGAGCCCACGACAAAGGCTAACTAAAGCCGAGGTCCAAGTCTCAGAGACGCCTTCTAGTTGAGCAGAACTGACCTCCTCAGGTTCGAGCGGTCTAGAGGCTCCAGATAGAGAGAAGACTCCCCCCGAGGGGAGATAGATGCTATCCGCCTGGAATATTTCTAGAGGCTCACCAATTCTCGGCTTGAGGTTCCTTTAGGATCTCGCCGTCCCCAACCCCGGTGACATTGTAAAGATCAGCTGCGGTGTTTAACCTCAATTCTTGGTTGCAGTGAAGAAAGGCCGCTGCCCAGAGTACCCGCACGGGGTGTGGGTGTGCACACACTCCTGCACCGGCGACTCAGACTGCCCGCGCACGCTCAAGTGCTGCCCCAACCGGTGCGGCGCGCTCACCTGCCAGCGACCCGAGTCGGATGAAGTGCCAGCACCGGCTGCGTAGAAGAAGATTTTTTTAAAATAATAGCTTATTTTGTGTTACTATGATTACGAATATAAGTTATTTACGGGATTGTTACCATGTACCTTGTTTTTAGCAAGTTTCTTATATGTTGCAAGCGCCATGATCGCGAAGCATCGAGATCGCGAAGTGCCGAAACATCGGAAAGTAATCCCGTAAATAACTTTTATTACTATAATGTTAGTGACCATGGATGTTTAAAACAATTTATGATTATGATCTGAAATAAAGTTAATTTAAGACTTTTTGTTGTTTACTACAGGAGTTTTAAAAGGCGGTCAAATAGAGCAAAAATGTGAAGCAAATTTTTTTTGAAGTTATACTTCTTTAGGCGCGTTATGAAAAAATCATGAGAGTGAAATTTTAAGATGCGCGCGCATCACTGTAACACAAAATTTTAACGCTAAAGCGACCAACTTCATGCGTTACTTTTGTGTTCACCGCACATTAAGAAAATCTACTAACAAAATAGAAATAGAATCTCTATTTAGTGGGTGCTAACGACTGCATTGTGAAGGCCTATCAAAAGTATTTATTAATCTGGAACACCGGAACCAAAGCGCGATTCAGGAGACTACAGCGCCATCTCTTGACCATTGGTGTAGTAGAACCAAAAACCACATCTTTATTTTTTGTAATAAAGTAACAGTTATAGGTATTCATATTATTTATCCACATGTTTCTAGTTTGTATATTCGGGATACGTGTTTGAGTTTCATACAAGTGCAAATCACATATGTTCTAATAAATTATATTCAGTAGCGATTTTAATTGAATATTTTGATTATTTATTTATTTTTTCAAATTAAAACTGAACTTTATTGACTTCGTCCTTTTCCAGACTTTTTATTAATTTATTGTAATTAATTATTTGCATGCAATTAAAAACTAATTTTAAACGATGCCAAAGAAGGATAACTTCTCACGCGCCTACATAAGTACACGCACCCATTTTTTTCCATAATTACAGACTTTTAAGAGCGGATATCTCGAAAACTATACAAGATGTCAAAAAACTTGACTGAATAAGACTTGTAGCAAATTTAATCAGCTTTCACTTTTGTTAAAGTCTCATGTCGCTAGGGTGCAAAGTTTCCGAGATATATGGGAAAAACCTAAAAATGGGACTTTCAATCCCCCCCCCTTACCCCCGGCTTAAGGGCTACGGGCGGGGACTTTTGATATGTTTACCTCCTAACTAGTCCTAACAAAGTTACGAAGTCAAAAATTGTGTTCTAAGCATTTCCCTCTATACCTTTTCGTTGCCTGGACTATTTGTCAACTTATATCGATAGCGACCGTTTTGCGTGTACAGTCGACTCCAAAAAGATGTACATATTTGAAAGTTACAAAAATACGTATCTATTGATGATGTTGTCATTGTTTGTTACAAATACTAGCACGCATGATATATGCCAGATTTATGTTCTAAATAAATGTGTCACAATTATGTAGACAGCTAAAATTACACCGTAATGTGTATGCACTGAAATGTATTCGTCTTTGGTTGCAAAGATATTTTCAGGTCTGATATTCAACGATATTAAATACACTAGATACACCAACACGAACATAATCGTGGCCGAAACCTGCCAAAAGGTACATTGGACGATTCACGGAGCTCCGTAAGATGATCGCGTAGTCAAAACAAATTAAGGCATTATTTAAACATTGAAAGTGACCTTTAACGCGTACTGTATAAGGTCTTAGTTAAAACGCATGCGTCAAAGACTTATGACAGTTCGAAATGGAAACTCGCAAAATTTTACGACTTATTGCTATATGCGGAAGAAGTGCTTGAGTGGAGTTCAAGCACTTCTTGATTGGGACACATTTTGAGCGCTCGTGGTGTATCTAGGGTATTTAATATCGTTGCTGATATTTTCAAAATTTAGAAAATTGCTGGAATTATTGTTTTCTCCTTCATTTTGTGGATGACGTTATTGCCGTGCTTATGTTTATTGAAGTTGACTAACAAATATCAATTATTTTTGCCACATAATTCTATTTTTTTTCAGCCGACTCGTAAAAAGGAGGTGTTCTCTATTTTTTCCATGCAAAAACTAAACCACATTTAATAGTAATCCTACTCCGCATTTTAGCATTAAATAATAGAAATAGTTCGATTCTTTGTATACCTAACATTAGCATTATACTTTTTGCTATCAGTAAAATAAATAAATGAATAATAGTTATTTATTGTATTTAAACTTTAAAGTATTTTACTGCTTCATTAGATTTCAAGATTTCATTAGTTAGTAGGTAGTTTTCTTAGTTTTTAATGTTATCTATTCTTGTCTTGGAAATATTGTCCACTAGTGAAAAAGAAGATTTACCATACAAACTTCCATATCATTTTTCCATAATTATTCCATCAAATGAGCTATTATAAAAATGTATTTACGTGTTGTTTTCAAGATTAACAATTGTTAAAGATTAGATTATTCATATTAACGCTTCGTTACTTATTAGCATAATAAGATATTACTCATAATAGCTCGCCATCTTTTTATTTATAAGGAATTTAGTACGAGTACGATAATATGTAGTACGAGAGCCCAAAATACTAAACCTAGTTTGATAAGACTCCCAGATGATGTATATAATTAGTCACGTCATTAATGTTTCCATTAGTTTGCTTATTAAATAAATTATCTTTATACGCAGATCTCTTTTTTTTTGGAATTCTTTCAGATTCAGATTTTCACCATGAGTTTTTGATGAGTTAGTCTTTTGTTGTATAATTTTAGAGGGTTTTTGAGATAATTTGTTCCAAGTTACAAAATTGGGCGGAAATCGTAGGTCTCCTTTATAAAATAAAAGAAAGTAAGATCTTCCTTAATTTTATGTAATCTGCTGGTGTCACTCACAGTTGCTTCGTGATTGGACCCCTTGTTTCATCATTATATTTGTAGAGCTTTACAGATTTGTGTTCACATAAAAATCATAGCTAGATATTTCACAGCTCTTATTTATTCACACAAACCATCTTACACTAAGCTGACGTAAAATAAAGATAGCAAAATAGCATTTTCATTTTAATGAACCTATATCGATAATTTGAAAAGGAAATTCACTTCGTCGAAAAGATAATGGTGCTACAGGTGCTCAACGTTGATTTGATGAGAACAAACAACTTGGTTATCAAAGACAAGTGAAGTGACCTCTCGAAAAGGTAAAGATCTTGATTTTATGTGCTGCTAGCTATGGAGTCTTATAATATTGTCTTCGGGCATACGCTGATTCTTAAACATAACATCTTCGATTACAACGTTGCGGCAATATCCAATCATTTAAAAAATATTTGAGGTAAAAGTTTATTGATAATAAACCGTAATACTCGTATTGTAATACGTGGCTTTCATAAACGTGCAATGAATTGTGATTTAAAGGCTTTTTCGAAATACATAATCAATGCTATGCTCCCTCGACGAAGATGACCATTAAATTTTGGAAAATCAATGACGAGACATCGATACCATCAAGGAAAGATATTATAATATAAAGATAATAAATAACAAATAATAAAAATAATTGGCAATTTATACGTTGAAAGTAATACAAGTAATAGGCTAGTTGACCCTTTTTGGAAAAAGGTTTTAAATGGTTAATTAATATTGTATTAGACCGAAAAAAAATGTATTGTATTTTTTTTAAACCTAGAAAGCTATAAATCTTTAATTTTAAAATAGACTTTTCATGGACATACAAAAACACTGTCGGCCATTTTAGTCTATAGATTATCTATGCTATGACGTGAACTATGGTAAACAAAAACTCGTAAACACGTAGAAAATTACTTTTAACTGAGTTTATAATAAAAAAAAACATGATTTCTAATAAATATCAGGAAAAATAAAGTAATTATCATTACTGTATTGTACGAGAATATAAAAACACATCCTTGAAGACTCCAGGAAAGTTGTGGATTAAAGTGCCGAAAGAAATTAACCTACGCAACTTTATTACACTTATTCATATGTTGTATCAGTTTTATGTTTATTACTACATTGTAATACTAAATGCACTGTACTTACATAGATGCCTTGTCGTTTCTCTGCTCCGCAGAGCAGAAATCGGGGTTTAGTGCAACAAATTCACCAACCATCAATGCTTCAATTCTTGGCAGATTTGTGCTTTCTGCTTTCACAAACCCGGCATCCATAATTAGTTTTGTCAAAAAAAAACTAAGTTTACTGTTTTTTTCTTTCCTAAAGTTAAAAGTGTTTTATGATAAATTTAGTCAGACGAAAGAATCCACCTACAGTAACACGCGAATGATATTTAGTTGTTTACCACAAGAGACGTCAAAATCATGGCGGAGGTGGCGAACAGCGTTTTTAGTGTTTAAAAAATATAGACTAAAAATATTTTTTTAAATTAAATTTACAGCAATCTTCTGCTTTTATGAAGTGAAATCGATATATTAAGGTTCCTTAGATTAAATACTTTAAGAAATAAACAATAAACATTTATTTAATACAATTCGACATGAGTAAACTAGCCTATTATTACCTATTTACTTTGGATTTTATTTATTCCATTCTTCCACGCTCCAATTGAACTCAGCGCATATAATTCACCTAAGATAACAGTGTACATTGGTCCTTCGAGCCGGATCTGAACCAGCGACCAATGGTTCAAAGAGAGCTTTTTGATATAATGCTTTTGTTTCGCTTAGGTGATTTTACCTTTAGTACTAATATACGCCGCATGTTTCGTTGCATTAATGTTAATCCAAAGCATACAGTTTCACACATATTGTTATATTACGCCCCACAAATTAAGATTTAGTTGGCTGACAAATATAAAGATAATTATACAATTTTATGCAAAATCGATTGTCTTTTAGGCAATCTTCTCGTCGCCGAATACAACGTTGAGTTGTAATACAGAGTAGCACCTACTTGATTGGCTTACTCGAGTTTTAAGTTACATGTACCATAAGTCCTATACATCACAAAGAGAGCGAGTCTTGAAAA